GCACTTGCAATATCTGCGAGAGAGGGAGAGCATCCAGTTTTGTTGACATAAAACTGGACGCGCCGGCGGCACTATCTCACTTATAGTTAGTGAGGGAAATCCACCTGCTATCCGAGCGGAGAGGTTAGGCTACTCATAGACTGATTATGCGCTCTGCAGTAATAACGTGATCGGTGCCTATGGTCCACGCTGATAGCTGTTCCGGGGCAGTTTTTTAGTTTTCATTTCCATTTCCATAAACATATATATATATAGCAGTAGAGCTAATATAGTGGCTGGAAATCTGTTTATCCTTCGGTTCCTCGTGCTTCCCCATCTTCATAGACAGCGCGGTTCATGGTTGCTCAGAGCGCTTTGGAAAGAAGGTGGAAATGGCGCGGTCACAGTTTCCATGCATTTTTAGACACTGGGAGCAGGGAAATATTAATAATATCTATTTAGAGCGCCTTATTGTAGTAATTAAAATATCGATATTTGGCGCCAGATATTGCATGGAGAAGGACAACGATATATCGTCATATCGATATACTGTCCCACCCCTAGTGTGTATGTGTTTTAATGTGTGTGGATCATTTTTTATGTATATTTATGTACTTATACAATGCCCAGGTTAATATACTTCAACTTATTATGTTTTCATCCAGTGCTGCTGCACACAGCGACAGCTAACGGTTTTCAGATGGTGACCAGTGGAGCTCAGAGTAAAGCTGTCAGTGACTGGGCCATTACTAGTCTAGAGGTGAGTATAACTCACTCCAGAACAGACTCGTTTACCCATAAACGAAGCTTCTGTCATCACATGCTCACCCTCATGTCCTTAATAACGTGATCGGTGCCTATGGTCCACGCTGAACCTCATGATCTTTTGTAAACTGTATTTATGACAAAGAACTGTCATCTCCCTGCTCATTCATGACAGGCTGCATGGATGGGCAGGGAGTTTTTTGCCCAGAACAGAACCATACCGCCAAACCAAACTTTATGCTAAGTATCTATCATTTTGACGATAGTGGTCCTGACAGAACTTACATTTTGTCTGTGAAGGTAAACAGCTTGGAAAGAAATTGCATGTTTACATTAGATCTGTGACAGCAGTGTAATAACCTATACTGCTGACTATGCTGATAATATGACCCAAACAATAAAATAAAAAGACAATCACTCACTGCTCTGGACTGTATAACTTCTATAGCTCTAATAAGAGGACATTTCTTTTTTGAATGCTGCTTTTAATAGCTCTAGCATGAAGATAAACGCGGTGGATTGCTTGCGGCTCACTCAGAGCCGGGTTTCTGCTAATACAGCAGTCTGTCAACAGTTGTGAGTGGGGCTTAAAAAATGTGACATCACATTTTACAGATTCTGCAAATGGCTTGTTCTGCTTCAAGACACTTCTTATGATTTATGGGGATTTAAAAAAAAGAAAAGGGTGGATTTTTATCATTATAGGATGGCTGTGTACACACGCTGCCAACACACATTTATGTTCAAACAACATGTAAAAGTGAATTTTGCATAATATGTGCCCTTTAAGCTTAAAGGATACCCTATCGAAGAATGCTTAACAGCATCTCTAATACTGCTGTTTATAGAGCTCTTAGCTTAGATAATTTGAAATTTCATTTTTGCATTAACTGTTCTGTATTGTAACCAATAAAATTTTTATTGTTATGATTGCCTCGTGTGAGACTTATAAAGGCCTTATACCTAAAAACAGAATGACCACAAGGGGATCATCTATGTTATTGAATGTAACGTGGGGTTTGGGTTTTGTTTCCTGTTCATTGTTTTCATGTCTTTTATTTTGTAGTTTGGCCATAGTCATGTTCTGTCATGTGATTCCCTTGTCTGTGTGTTATGTTCTGATTGGTTCCTTGGTTCATGTGTCATGTTCTCATTGGTTGGTTCTTGTCATGTGACCCTCATTGTTTGATATAAATAGCCCTCATGTTGCCTTTGTTCTTTGTCTAGCTTTGATGTTGTAACCCTGCTGTCGGTGAGTCTGTTTATGCCAAGTCAAGTTTGTTCGATTCAAGTCTGTTCAAGTCAAGTCTTTTGGATTATGTTTTGTCTTTGTGTAAATAAACTGCACTTGGGTTCTCACTTCAACTCGCCTTCAGTGGACCATTTGTTACAGATATATACTGTAAATGTTTTGATGTAAGAGCATAAGGGGAAGTCGTGGCCTAATGATTAGAGAGTTGGACTCATAACCCAAAGGTAATGGAATTGGACCCAAAGGTAAAGGAATTGGAGGTGGGGGGAGTGAATGTACAGCGCTCTCTTCCACCTTCAATACCATGACTGAGGTGCCCTTGAGCAAGGCA